TTCATCTTCGTCTCATCTGAAACAGGTAAGATGAGATGTTTGATATTAGATTCGTACCCAAAGAGATCACAGCTGAGGGTAAACTAATCAAGTAGTGAAAAGATTTATGCATCAGAACCATCACATCCCTATCAAACCAAAGCATCATATAAGCACATTGTGTTATCTTAGAAACTGCTAATAAGAGTAGTTAGTCATTCAGAACACTCACACAAGAAGGGTGAATCCTTTGTAACACAGACTAGTTTTGCCATATAAAAATCAATTTTGGTGGATTATCAGGGGCAGTAATTATCACCCCTTTAATAAGTGCAGTTTGTTTGTTTTTGGGTCAATCCTTTAACAAGTGTAGTTAATCACTCAACCAAAGACCAATAACTCAATTACTAAGGAGGTATGTGAGTTAAATGAATTAAAAGAACATTTTTGCCCTTCAACTATTCCTCAGAAGCACCTGTAATCCTAAACTTTCAAGTGTTGCTATTTCTCTCTTTAGCTTTTAAAAATGATGCATTAAGCACCCTGCAGTTAAAAAATTTAATTTTAATTGTTAGTTGACTAGAAAAATTAAAAGAGAGAGAGAGAGACCTAAATATTACAAGAAAGGATCCATAATAATCCAAATAAATACCCTATAAAAAAATTAATATCGATTAAATCCCTAAAATAATAGGTGATCAAAATTGTAATTTGGTCTTTCACATGGGTAAGAAATAACATTTGTATCATGTTATTTACATGTAATTTAGGGGTCTTAATTAATATTAATTTTCTTATAACATATTTATGTGTAATTTTATGGATCCTTTTTTTTGAAATTTTTGAGATCCTTTCCTGCAATTTTAAAGTCAGTTAACGGTTATAGTTAATTTTTTAATGATAAGGTGCTTCAAACATTGAAGGAAAAAAACTGTACCACATGAAGGTTTAGGATACCAAATGCTCTTTAAGCGAATGGTTGAGAAGCAAAAATGTCCTTTAACCCTAGTTAAATTAGTGGTCTTGGTTTAAGCCTTGCGTATGCAATTACTTTAAAAGCTTGTAGGGAAAACTTTGCTACCCTTTTGGTCCTTCCCAACTCGACCCAAATTAGTTGAAACCCAATATGACTTCCGAATATCAGGCCATTTCATGCTCAAAAGACAAAAAACAAAAAACAAAAACAAAAAACAAAAACAAAACAGGAAAGGAAATTCTTACTGCTACACTACCACTGCCATATAAAAATTAATTTTCATTGTGGAATCTCACAGGCAATAATTATCATTCCACTCATGAGAGGTTAAGACAACCCTCTTTTCATTTAAATTTAATTAGAAGCTTTGAAATAAAACAATCATTATAGTATAATAATAATAATCATATAATGCATATATGATATACTTACAAAGATCCCATTGGAGTCCAGTGGTAGTAGAACTACTAGATGGCATCCCAATGGGGATGAGTCCGCAATGCGGCCCCTCAGCAGAAGATTGAATATAAATCTTATGATGGTAGTTCATTGGAAGAAGTTGAATGAGGCAGTCATCAGATGGAAGGATAATTCGAGTATCTGGGAAATGGCACAGAACATTAATATTCCCAATCTCGTGGTCAAATCGCCCACCAAGTGCTCCAGTTACAACAATCCTTAACTACCATACATTGCAGGAAATAAAGAAAATCAATTATGGTATCAAAGAGTGCCAGGCCAAGACTGCTTCCTTGAAAACTAAAGTCATGATACAATGAAATATGCAAATAAAAGAAATAGAAATCAAGACGTTGGAACTGATTTAACTTACTGATGATTTATCCATATTTGATGTAAGGTCACATATATGTGCAACACATTTGTGTAAATCTGTGGTGTCCTGATCATGAGATTCATCTATTATCTTAGTTCCCTGCAAGGGGCAAACAAGCATACATGACTGAAAGATTTCAAGTAAAGAATAAAGCAAGTGACAACAAAGTGTTGAGAAGAAAGTTGAATTCAATTCATCCCATCCAGTAGGGAAACATGCACACATAAACCTACAATGAGAGAAGAAAAGCCCATACAAACACAGAATTAGAGCCGTACCAGGTTTTTATAGAAGTCAAGTACTTCAGACCGAATTGAGTCCATGTCACCTTTGATTGCATCTGGCACGTACCTAATAGAAACCTATCATGTTGTTAAATGAAGTCTGCAACTGGAAGAACAAGATAGCAAACCATACTGTCATCAAAAGAAGCATCAAATTAATTGCCTTTAGAACACTAGAAAGTCAAAATTACTTTTTTTTTTAAGTCTAATCTAATCCAACTTGACTCCTCAGATCAAAGGCGGAATTATGAAATGACATTGATACTAAAAGCAAGATTGCATTCTGTGTACTCTGTACAGAAACATATTATTAGAAAATATTTTAATCAATCAACTCACAGACATGACGACTGCTACTTCTAGAGGACATATAAGATGTGTTCTATATTTTTGTCAATGAACAGTAAGCATAATATAAACGATTAGATTAACAAAATATCAAATGCGATGCCCAGCAATTCAATCGTGAAAATGAGCTAGTAGTAAGTGCCTTGTTCGTGGGTACCAATAGTTGGAGCAATTTATCAAAAGAACATTTGCCGCACGATCACTTCCATAGATGATAGCATGGATAAATTTCCTTGGTTCAACAATTGGCCAAATAGTTCAACGTACACAGTAGTAATTTATATACACAATTATTTGGCTTTCGTATGTTTTCTCAGTTTACAGTTATTCACAAGTAGCACAAAGCAAGTTAGCATCTACTTAGAGCTAGCATCATAGTTTAACTCAGTTACTTAGAACTAAATTAACAAATGAAATGTGCAAAATGCAAATGCCCAACTAAAAAAAAACAAAAAAACAAAAGTGGCAAAGGACTATACACTAGGCATAAAAATTTAACTGAATTATTTATTTAGCTAATAAATTATTAGGAACAAAAAATGAACCTGGTTTGAACATGCGAGGCATCATAAGGACAGAAGCAGAGGCATTTCATCATACACCCGATTGGCACCCCCATCAGCACAAACTCATATTTGTGCTGTGGTGCAGAAAAACACAAAACGACAATGGAGAAAAATACAACAAACATCAGATGATCCAAACTTAGAAGAAATCAAATTCCGTCCACAGAATAAGAGTGAAGAGTTGAGGTGCAAAAACAAGGTACCATGCTCCCAAAGCAGAGGAGTGAATCTCGGCAGGTGCTGGTTAAGAATAATGAGTGCGTAGGTTAAAGAAGGTTGATTCTCTCTGGTGGAATCACCGGTAGAAGGAAGGTTGAAGAGTGAGACATGGACTCCATAATCTGCAACATGAGATGGCTATTAGCACCAAAACCATTGGTTATTGAAAATTAATGGCGGCTTTAGTAGCAGCGGATCTGCCTTGTTGGCTTATTCATGCCCTCTGCTTGTTACTAAAAATAACAATATTACTGAAACCAATACCACCACTACTGAAGTCGACCAACCATCAAGTCAAAACGGACATGCACCTCCCAGTTTACAAGTTCACTCTCCACATTTCCCACCTAGGGTCACATCTGTGATTATGTTCCTCTTTTTGTTGGTGAGTGCTTATTTCCGTTGACAGGGAAACCTACTTAACTAGAGTAACCTCCATGAAATTTCATTCACATGACAATATGGATACCTGATCAAATAAATTCTATTTTCAATAACCATTACAAAGTTATCTTACAGGAATCATTTTGTCATACAAACACCACCAAAAATAAATTTTCAATTTTACTTTCTTCATTTTCTTCAAGTTTTGTAGACAATATGGTTCAGTTCAAAGATCTTTTCAGTATATAAAAATTTTCCAACGTTTTCGTGGAATTGTGTCAATATCTTGTATTTATTATTTTAACAATAAAAAGTAGTTGGCAAAAAATAGCAAAAAGATGCTGACTAATCACATGTATATACTTGAGAGAATTTGAATCTAGTCAAAGTCTTTGTGAATCATACTTTTACTCTCATGTATGTGAAGACATGACCCAACTGAATAACTGGTGAAAAAAACATTACAAAACTACTTGATGTTAAAATCCCTTAAAAACATTAAGAAACAAATTCAAAGTAGACACTACATAAGACTTAGTGATTTACTAGATATCTAGTCTAGGAGATAACATAATGCTAACAATTTGGCAATGCTGCTGCTTTATTATCTTTGATATCTTGACAGATGCATCTCGTATAAACAATCCACTACTTTTTAGTAAAGCTCATACGTCCACTATGCCAGACAAGCCAAAACCAATCGGTACGGGCATTTTCATATTGCTCCAAAGCTTCAAAACCTTGAGAAAGCAACAACAATTTATCTTTATTAGGACAATGTGAGTACATGCAACATAACTCACGGACCTGATGCTGATAATCAATAACTAGAAAACCAGCAATAAATGTCAGTTTGACTTCAGCTATAGCTAGCCATATCATCCCGATTCATAAGCAAGCGCAATAAGATTTATACAATTCCCATGTATTGAACGCCAAGATCTAAACAAAACCATTTTCGCTACTGAACGATGCAAAAACAAGGGGACGATCATTAATAGGATACAAAACGTAGATAGTTGTTACTGTCTGCAACAGAGAAAGGAATCGCACCGTATCTGAGTCTCGCAAAGAGGACGAGTGAGTGAGAGATACAGAGAACGAGGGCTGTGTACGTGGCTGCTTTCTCTACCCAAGGCGAGGATGACTGAGTTAATGGCGAACATCATTGGCCGCAATACATTTATTTAATGAAAATTCAAGGCCTGTTTGTACACAAGTCTCAATTTAAAAAGACTTGACATTGAGATTGAAATTGAGGAGGGGTTTTAAAATTATCTTTAATATATAATAATATTTAAAGAAAATATTTATTTTTATTTTATAATTACATATAAATAATGAAAAGACTATAATACCCTTAAAATAATTAAAAGAAAAATATGTAACCTAGAGCCTATAACTCATCTCACACCCCATCAATTTCCTTTTTCCCTGAGAGCACGGCAGGGGCACAAAAGACCACTATTTTTCTTGTTGCTTTTCCTTTTTTGGTTTTTTCATTGTCTCATCTGATGGACATTAAAGGAAAGTATTGAAGATGAAACTAGTGATGCATGCGGGTTATAACGGCACAAAAAGGCCTTCATTTTTCCTCTTTTTAGACCGGCGATGTAGATCAACTAACTAAGACCTTCCTTTTTTGTTTTTCCAATCACCGGCAATTTATGCTTAAACCCATCATCATAACCACCTTGTGCCATCTTTGTTGTTGTTCTTCTTCCAGGTTCAATTCAAGCATCAACATTGTGCCTATGTGTGGTTGACATCATTATCGCCATCATGACTGTGAAGAGGGGTGGAGGCTGGAAGGCAAAAGGAGAGATGAGAGGGAGCGGGTGGAGGGCAAAAGGAGAGACAAGAGTGGGGAGGATGGAGGGCATTTTGATTAAAAAAAACAATTAATCCAAGATTAATTTTTCTATACTGAAAGGTAGGTGATATTGAGTAACTCTACTTTGATGAAATTAAAATTGAGATTAAATTTTTCATTATTTCATATCAAATATAAAAAATTTAATACTAATCTCAGTCTTATATTGTAAGTGCTTTGTATTATATAGGCCTAACACTTTCCAATAAAAAAAAAAATCACACATAGGTTTTAATAAAAGACTATTTGTCAATTAAAAAAATTATTTACTAATTAGTGAATAACTTTTTGTAATGATATTTACTAATTAATGAAAGATTATTTATTAATTAAAAAATATGGGTATTATAGTTTTTTTTCATCTAAATATATTTTCAAATCAATATTTAATTATGTAATGATATTTTATAATTTTTTAATATTTACTTGAAAATAAATATCCTAACTGTCCTTCAATGATATTTTTCCAAATAAAAATTGGAAGGGCATGGATATGCTTTTTGAACCCAAAAGTTTAAGAAAAGTGAAATAATGAAATAATAATTTTTTAATATATTTTCTCCACAATGAAAAAAGAAAAATGAAATAACGATAAAATGTTCCTAACAGGGCGAGGGCGTGAATAGCATGCCCTCGAAGCTCGATCTCGTTCGAACTTCGAACACCAATCTCTCTATTGCGTCGGGTCTCTACCCCGGAGTCCAATCCAATGACCTCGAAGCTGATTGCTTCCCATCTCCGGCGACACCTTGCTAATTCCACCCATCAACTCCGCCGCCAGCTACTGTCTACATCGGCGGCGGCGGCGGCGGCTGAGCCTCCACACCATGAGGATTCAACGGGAATCACGATGAAAGGTGTGAAAATTTCTGGAAGGCCTCTTTATCTGGATGTGCAAGCAACTTCTCCTGTAGACCCCCGAGTGCTCGATGCCATGCTTCCTTACAGCATGTCTCGCTTCGGCAATCCTCACTCTCGCACACATATGTACGGCTGGGAATCCGATTTGGCTGTCGAAAACGCACGCGCTCAAGTAGCATCTCTGATTGGCGCCTCCCCGAAAGAAATTGTTTTCACGTCCGGCGCAACGGAGTCCAATAACATATCCATTAAAGGGGTCATGCATTTCTATAAGGACAAGAAAAGGCGCGTTATAACGACGCAGACGGAGCACAAGTGTGTGCTTGATTCGTGCCGTCATCTTCAGCAGGAGGGATTCGATGTTACGTATCTTCCAGTCGGGTTCGATGGTATCATTGACCTGGAGAAGCTTAGGTCAGCTATTAGGCCTGATACGGGTCTTGTATCTGTCATGGCGGTAAATAACGAGATTGGGGTGGTTCAGCCTGTTGAGGAAATTGGGAAAATTTGCAAGGAATTTAATGTTCCGTTTCATACCGACGCAGCGCAAGCGTTGGGGAAAATTCCGATTGATGTGGAGAAGTGGAACGTAAGTTTGATGTCCTTGAGTGGGCATAAAATTTATGGGCCAAAAGGTGTTGGGGCATTGTATCTTAGGAGGAGACCGAGGGTTCGAGTTGAGCCCCAGATGAATGGTGGTGGACAAGAGAGAGGAATTCGAAGCGGGACGTTGCCTACACCTTTGGTTGTGGGGATGGGTGCGGCATGCGAGCTGGCGATGAAGGAAATGGAGTATGATGAGAAGAGAATTTCTGCTTTGCAAGAACGACTACTGAACGGTATTAGAGAAAAACTGGAAGGGGTGGTGGTGAATGGGAGCATGGAGAGGCGCTATGCAGGGAATTTGAACTTGTCGTTTGCATATGTTGAAGGGGAGAGTTTACTGATGGGGCTGAAGGAGGTGGCCGTCTCAAGTGGCAGTGCTTGCACTAGTGCGAGCTTGGAGCCCTCGTATGTTTTGAGGGCACTGGGAGTAGAAGAGGACATGGCTCATACTTCTATTAGGTTTGGTATTGGCAGGTTCACTACAGAGGCAGAAATTGACAGGGCAATCGAGATCACGGTTCACCAAGTGGAGAAGTTGAGAGAAATGAGCCCACTTTATGAAATGGTGAAGGAAGGGATCAACCTCAAGGAGATTCAGTGGGCGCAACACTGATAATCTTGCCATGATCATCACATAGGGCATTATGGGACGTTATGGATTACGTGCCCTTGGACAGGAGATAGTCAAATAGATTGTCTGCTCAACCAAATAAGTAACTATTGTTCATTCAGGTAGCCTTATATAAATGCCTTAGAAAGTACAGTTGCTGACTTGGTGTAATACTTTCAATCTTGGCTCTCACATGGCAGATGCTGAAATTAGAGGATAATGACATGATATGGAGTATGTGTCCATAGTCCATATTTGACAACATATCAAAATTTGACTTTCTTTTCTTGTTTCATTTGTAACTGAATCTTTATTTTGTATGCCATTTTCTATTTCTTGTGATTTATTCATTCATAATTGAATCTTTGACGGAGATGCAATCACTTTTTTATGCCAACTCATGGATTTCATACAATGCCAAGTATGGTAAAAAGATGGCACAATGATAATAACTTAAATGCATTGTTTAAAGCTCAGTAAATATGATAGAGCTCATGATTTTGCTAAGACCTATAAGAGGAAATCAAGGAAGGCAAGAGGTTAAAAGATAACATTATTGTTGGTTCAGATGTTTGCCCTTCGGATCCTGGTTATGAGGGGAAAAAAGAAAGTAATTGATGGCCTAGTGATGTGCTAGAGTCCCAGTGATGGTTAAGGGTCTTCTAGGGGTAAGGGCTGTGCTAGAGTCACTGTTTAGGTCTTTAAATATTCCTCCTTGCCTAGAGAGAGGGGGGGATTATTTTGAATATTGAGAGTGGTGAGGAGAGCTCTGGCCTCTCGAATGTCAGGTTGGGGGTGGAGGAAGTCATCTTTCTTCATCATTTTATCTTCTGCTTAGTGTATGTTTGTAAGTGAGTGACTTATATTTTGTGATTGTTGATTGGTGGAGTGTATTTTGTGCTGTTTCTGTTTCAGTGCGTTGTAATTTTCAGTTCCTTTTTTCGCTGTAATCCAACTTTGCTATTCGGTAATAGTAATTTTCAGTCCCCATTTGTGGTGTAGTTTCTGGTTTATGCTTGTTTAAAGCTTATTAGAATAGAGGGTTCCATCAAAATATTACAGGTTGTCATATGATTTGTGTCATCGGGTTTTCCTAAGCAATGCAGGATATAATCTGCCTAAAATTTAAGCACTTAGAAATGAAAGCTTTTTAAATAAATGGCATTTTAAAGCTCTATAGAAGAGATGCTCATATAAGCTCTTGTACAGTTATCATGAGAAGATAACTTCATATCTGAAAGCTCTATACTATTAATTTCCAAAAGAAAAGCTCTATAGCATTTAAAGCACATATGGGCACCAAAAATTAACTATCACCAAACAAGGACATAACAAGTTCCTTTGCTAATTAACGGCTCAGATTGTCTCGCTTATACAACACAGTGCATCTCATCAAGTATGATTTGTCCTACATTGCTTCAAATCACAGCAAATGAAGATAAACTCATTCAGACCGGTTCCCTCTCTTCTTGCATCAAATTTCCCCAGTTCTACATTAAATTGTCAGACAAAAGTATTAGATGATCAATTCATGCACAATCTTAATTTCATATGTGGTAAATGATGGGAGATTTTTCCTCGTACCTGGTGCAGAGTTTTTCCCGTTGGGTTTTTTTTTTTATGTTAACCATTCCTATTTCTATCTGAGAACATTACATTTACACTTCCTTATCTCCTAGAAAGTGTCATGTTTTGATCATTTTACTGCTTTTAAAATTCCTATGTCAATATGATTTGCTGGCCTCTTTTCTTAACAATAATATTCAGGACCCAGGTGGTCAAAGGTGAAAAGCACCCTCAAGGCATTAGACCTATAAAAAGCCTTAAAAAAATTATGGTGTGAAGCTTTCTATGCGTTTGAAGTTGATTTATTTTTCTCTGGTGCGTGAATCTAGTATCTAGTATTTATTAGAAATTAGTTGAAGCGAAGAAAAATAAATTTGAGGTAATTTGCTCCATTCCTGATGCATAATCTGTATGCTGACTCTCCTGCATCTTAATATTTCTTCAAGCTATAAACAAATATTAAGCCTCAACTTTTGCCGCATGCACTGAATTGACTTTGTCCGTTAGTTTGATAAGTACAGTAATTGGGATGAACTTGTAATTAGCTTTCTGCAACTACAGTGGTGTTACAAGGAGGTTGCTTTAGTATGACGTGTGGAGGCAAAAGTTCCTAATTGTCAAATTTAAAATTTGATGGCATGGCTTCACCTGGTTCAGCAGTCCACTTCTTTTGCTCCTATGGGATGAATACTCAAGGAAAATATTAGAGAACCAGAACATCATTGAAGGCAAAACTATGATGGGCGGAGAGAGGAAAGGACTAAATCCTGCAGAGAGCTGTCTCTCTGCATGGCAGTTTTGAATTCTTCAAAGGTGACTTTTCCATCACTGTTGGCATCCATCAGGTCAAATATCTCATCTAATTTGCCTGGTTCAAAGATATCAGCAGGCAGGCAATCATCTGGCAAAGCCTGTTCAGTAAATTGAAGTGTTAAAAGAAGCAAGCTACAAGGGAATATAATTTTATTGAGTGGAAGGCTCATTACTCTGAGCATGGATGCTACTTCTTCCTTAGTAATGCACCCAGATCGATCAGTGTCATACATCTGTTGTCCAGGAAATAAGACGCAAATTAGATCAGCTGGTTCATTTATTTTTCTTTGCGCTATATAGGTTTTGCGAGGGGTTAATCAATATAAGAAGTTTTTTATTGTTTCTTTATTTTGTCATTGGTAATAAATGATAGAGCACAATGGCGTCTTGCAATCCATGTAGCCGACCCCACCTAGTGGGATAAAGGCTTGTTGTTGTTGTTGTTGTTTGTTGTATTTTGTCATTGGTTTCAGGATTCATTTCCAACTACTTTTTACCAGAAAGAATCATGTGAATGTTAAAATAATAAATAAATTCAGTGTTAAATGGTATTTTTCACTTCTTTGTGTCGTGTTTTGAGGATATCTTTTCGATTAATCTCAGTTTCAATTTAAGCTTAATTTTAGCAGTGACCTTAGAAGACTACAATTATAATGAAAATCACTTTTGGCCCTGCTTTTTATTAGATTCACCCTTTTAGTTGAAAGAGTTCTTGCACGAATACCAAAACATCAATTGATCAAGAGGTCAAGAGGACAATCCTTGCCTAATGTTAAATTAATTTTCAGCACAAGGTATGGCAGGTATTTGTTCTGTCCGCACTTTAAATCCAATGGACTTTAGTGTCACAGAGCATGTTAGAGATTAACTGTTACTTGAACTTTTTAGTTGAAATGGACCTTGACAGCTATGAAAGTGGTCGACATGAAATCAAACTGATAATTGTCATAACATGCATATGATTAGTTGAAACTAAGACTGGAAAGGACAAGCTGTGTGAGATCGTTGACACATTGCTTAAATCTATATGGAGGATATTGATTTTAGGCCAAACCAGAGTGATTAACTAGGACATTCCCTTTCCTTTTTTCCTTTCATCAAACCTTAACATCATCTTCGCATTTTATTCAAATGTTGTATTTGCTACATAATTATGGATGAAGTAGTTAGTAAATTCTTTAACTGCTATGGTCATCTGCATGCATTTGAACTAGATAAACCATGAAAAGATCACCTGGAAGCAGAGACGAAGTGCATCGTCGCCTTTCGAATTCTTAAGGCTGGAAAACCCACAGAGTATCTCTCTCATGTCAACAGTTCCATCTTGGTTGTTGTCAAATATGTCAAATATGCGTGGTGCTAGAGGGATAAGTGATGACATATTCATTGCTTTTAGAACCTCCTCAAATTCAGGGAGCGTGGCATTGTCTCCACCTGCACATCTGCCAAAATCCAAAAGCATTAAAAAAAATGAATGTTGAAGAGCAGCTGGACCATTGGAGCTCATGTCTGCTTTATCGATAACAGGTTAAGCATTAGCTTGGAAATATATGGGTCCTTTCCAATGTGTCGGGCCAATTATCAGTTCCAACTACTTACATTTTCTTGAAGTGTATCTTGAGGTTTTCAATTTCCTCTGGTGTAAGATCATAGGATCCCAACAAGGATTTCAAATTTTTAATCCTCAAGAAGACTGTGCTGCTCCATAAACTAGCAATTGCTGCAGCACGGAGTTTGCGACGAGCATTAAATTTTTGCAATCTGTCAACAATCTCAGGATCCATCTGATCACCTTTAGCTATTTCTCCTCTGACCCATGGATGAGTGAGAAGCTGTTCAAAGAAATAGCACACGAGGTATGCAGAGTTTATCACACTCATCCATTCTGATGATGAACTATTATACAATTTCTCTGCTTTAAAATAATGTGATGCAGAACGATAAATACAAGGAGTGCTGGCCGCCATCATAATTTATTGGTATGCTATGCAGTGAAAGTCTTTACAATATTTATATATTTTTTGCAGGATTTTTGTTTAATGACATGTCAGATTACATGTCATACAGATGAAGTTTAAAGTGTACCTCATGAGCGCTAGGTCTCCTATCAGGATCAACGGCTAAGAGACTTGAAATCAATTGCTTTGCTGATGAGGAAATGGTCTTCCAAGTCTTCTCATAAAAACTGAAACTCCCCTGATAGAATATATTTTTCTTTTTTTAAGCAAAATGAACTATGACGGAACAAAAAGCGGGGTGTATGCATATAGATGATGTCTCTGATAGGGTCACTAAAGAGCAAAAATCAAGAATGTACTTTGACATAGATGTCTTGAGACATTGCCAATATTTACTCTTTGGGGTTGCATTTCTCTTATTTTTATTCTAGAAATTACACCCTTAATCTTGGTGAGATGTTTATTACTTACAGTCATGATCATTTGTTGCTTTTGGCGATTAGACTGAGCGATGAAAGGTGGATACCTGCAACATCAAAGAAGGTTATCTGCAGCATTTTGATGTCTTATATTGAGAATGTAGGACTTAAGGTATGAGGGGACAGGACTGACACAATTGGAAAATTCTTTAGGCATCTAATCTACATCAAGCCAATAATGAATAGATATGCAAGCATGTTAAGCATACTTTCTCTGACATGCTTTTGTGTCTATCTATGATTGGTTCATCTACAAATATGCTGTAGACTTGAATCTGCTTCGGAATCTCTTGGCACAACTAAACTCAGGAGAACAAAATGCTTACCCAGAGAGTAAGATATAAAGAATTACTCCCACGGACCACATGTCACTCTTATTAGTAATCTTTCCTTGAGATAGAGCCTCTGGTGAGACATAATCAATGGATCCAAACAAGCCAACAACTGGGTCAGTAAATTCCTCCACAGAACTCAACCCAAAGTCCATGATCTTCAGAGGAGAATCCTTTCTACTGTCCTGGAATAAGCAA